CGGCAGTGAAAGATGGCCATTGAGAGTAGAAGGTACTCGTAAGCTACTAGCATTTGACCACAGATGTCTTAGAAATATTTCTGGTCTGGGATCACCGGGTAAGCAATAGTGGGGTTAGACACAGGGTATTAGGGAGTGATGGTAAATCAGTTGATGAGGTTGTGAATCTTCATCGACTGAAATGCTTGGGCCTACGCCTGAACACCGATTACCACGACGTGCAATGCTAACCGGTGTTGGTGATGGTTGGAAGAACGTTAGGGGCGGCTAAACCAAAACGTGGCATCAGTGCTTGAAGACATTAACTTCTAGTCTGAGCCATGTTGGTAGATGCAGACTACATGGTTGGGATCCGCGTGACTATCGTAACCAATGGTTGTAGACTGTTGGTGACATGGCTCAGAATCGATCAAAATGGCGTCGGTATATACACTCTCTGTCTTCCCTTAAACTAAGAGATTAAAATCGCTTCACATCTTTCTTTCTACGAACTAATTATTTCTTCCTGTACTATGTCCTTATTGCAATCTTTCTCTTATATATTGCCACCTTTGACATAACCACTGCTATGAATCCGGTGTCCATCTTGTTGTGTTAATGAGGTGTGGCAACTTGGACCGATGCATATATGTGCCTGGTTCTACGTTGTAGCTGACTGACTGACTGTATCCACAACCCATAAAGTATCAATATTAGTTACTAATTAGTAACCATTATATCTAAGATTATAGTAAATTGGTTTTCATAACTTATTTATAATATTCATTAACCTGATGATAATTCATCTCATAATCTTGTTAACTATTATCAATAAAAAATTAAATGTGCTTTCAGGTTTTCCATGGTGGTCTAACTTCTCCACAAAACCCATCTGATATTAATCAACATATGCTCACTAGTGACTGGCTTCACGAGGTATATCTGGAGTTCTAGTGAGAAGTAGTGACCAGTGCAGTTCAACCAGGTCTGTTGTGAGATAGTAACTCACTGATGACAATGGTGGATAAGTCACTCAATTTCGTGGATTAGTTGAAGTTAGACATTAACACCGTTGGATGCCGGCTCAGTGGCTAAGTGCTCGCACGCGAAACCAGTAGGTCCTGGGTCCGAATCTCGCAGTAGTGAGGTCATGGTTGCGCACTGCTGAGGAGTCCTACAATAGAACGAAACGACCGTTCAGTGATTCCAGGTTTTCCATGGGGGTCTGGCTTCAACTGACTCATGATCTTAATCATTGAAATTAAATGTTAAGTCACAAAGAACATAGTAAAATAAGAAGAGAAAAAGAAAAGAATTTTATTTTAAAATTATTTTTAATTTTTTTTGTTTAAAAATTCTAATCCATAAAATATTACCTAAAGTTACATGAGATTAATTAAAGTAAAAGAAAAATTAAAGAGAATAATAATTTCTATTTCTACTTTACTACTTAAATGTAAAATAAAAGTGTATTTAATCTTGATTTATTTATTTATATTAGGAAATATGACAATGAATAATATTATTAGAATAATTAAAACTGTAATTATAAAAGTACCAATGAATAGAAATGCAAAAATTCTTTTTCTTTTTATATAATTCTTTAATATATCACATAATTTATAATGAATTGGTAATTCATTTATAGTAGGTAAAATATGTATTTTATTTTGTCCAAATGATGTACTTAAATTTAATGAATTTATACTACTTAATGTACTTTTTTTATTAAAAGTTTGTGAACGATTACTTAATTGACTTTTACGTGGATGTATAGTTGATGTTGATTCTTGTAATGATAAACGTTGTTCTATATCAACAGGAAATGCCAATACATTCCATGGTGTAACACATACTAATGACTAGAAGAAATGAATTAATAAAAAATAAAAAAAAAATAACTGAAAAAAACAAACAAATTGTATTTGATAACATTTAATAGAATGAATTGTTTTGTCAGTTTAGGTGTTGTGGAGATTGTTAAGTTTTTGATTGAAATCATAGGTCAATTGAAGCTAGACCATCATGGAAAACCTGGAAGCACTGGATGGCCGTTTCGTTCTATTGTGGGACTCCTCAGTAGTGAATAGCTTCGTGAGAAAATTCTCGGAGTTCTGGTGAGAAGCCGTGACCAGTGGAGCTAATCCGCCTCGGGCAGAAACAGGTGTCTACCTTAGTACAATGGAAGATGGTCGCGCAATTTCGTGGATTGGTTGGGGTTAGACATTAACACTATTGGATGCCGGCTCAGTGGTCTAGGTGGTTAAGCGCCTGGTGCGTGACTGATAGGTCCTGGGTTCGAATCTCGCGGCGGACGGGATCGTGGATGCACACTGCTGAGGTGTCCCATACTAGGACAAAACGGCCGTCCAGTGCTTCCAGGTTTTCCATGGTTGTCTAGCTTCAATTGACTCATGATTTCAATCAAGAATTGTTTTGTATTGTAACATTCGATATCATTTAGGTATCATTACCAAGATTGGACTTGATAATTTCGAATAAATTGAGCATTAGGGTAGATTGTTACAAATAAATTAGTATATTTGTAATATCCTAATGAGTAGAAAATAGTACCTATTTAAACTTGGATTAATTTTGATTTGGTTATTTATTCTCTGAAGAAGTGAGACACGAAATGTCGGAAAATTTAATTTTTCTATTTATTGGGATATTACAAATATATTAATTTATTTATATCCGGTATCATAATTATTTTGATATATAATTTCTTTCTAAAGTAATAGATTCGGTTTGAAACATTTGGATTTGTAGTTTCTTTTATCGCGAACTGAATTTATTTAGTGAACTAATGAGAATCATAAATTGCTAGGTATACATTTCACTCTAATATGGAATTTCGTAGCTTTACGCATCCATAACCCTAAGGGGATCGAATGCAGGACATTTAGGCCTTGTGATGAGCGCTTCACTTTCAGATCACTGAGTTTAACTCAAGTAAGTTTTATTTCTAACTTCAATCAATTCTTAATATTGAAGAAATAACGACCATTGCTACTGGTACATCTAGCTTACTCCCGATACGGCTGAGCTCTATCAGTCATCCCTTCTCAATAGAATCCTAGGAATTACCTCTCAAAGTTAGTCTTCGACTAGACATAGAAGAAACTGCAAACATGCTCCACGTTCTATTTAGGACGATTTGGGAGGAATAACAAGTGCCGACAGACTGGAAAGGAGGATATGTCATCAAGATACAAAACGAAATAGACCTGAGCACATGTGAAAACTACAGAGATATTACAGTACTATCGGTACTAGGAAAAGTTTTCAACAGAGGGTTGACGAATCAGCTGAAAGATTCAGTAGAGACACACGGCCTTGAGATCAACAGGTCGAATTCTGTAAGTATCGGTCGTGCACAGACCAAATCGTAACACTATTGATCATCGTTTAACAATCGAATGAATGGAACTCGTCACTATACACCAACTTTCTTGAAGGTGTTTGACAGTGTGGATAGAAGAACTTTATAAAACCTTCTTCGGCAATATGGTGTACCTGGAAAAATCATCAACATCATATGGAATTCACACGATGGACTACATTGCAAATTGGTGCATGGATGACAGCTGACAGACGCATTCCAAGTAAGGATCGGCTGCTTACTCTTATCCTTTCTCTTTCTTCTGATCGTCTACTGGATCATGAAGGCCTCCACATCTGAAGGAAGCACGGAATAAATGAACAGGTTGGATGCAACTAGACGATTTGGACTTCGCAGATGACCTGGCCTTTCTATCCCATACACACGAACAAATGCAGCTGAAGACAGCCAGTAAAGCAGAAGCCTCTGCAGCATTAAATATAAACATACATAAGGGAAAAGGAAGATCCTCAAATACAATATGGAGAACACCAACCTATCCACACTTGATGGAGAAGCTCTAAAAGAGGTGGAGCAGTTAACCGCTTATTATTTGTTTTTTTAGTTCAAAATCTCTACTGTGGATTCATTTTTGTATCATTTATTTCTACTAAACTTAAATATGAATCGACACATGTGGTTTTTTTCAATGTGTCGAAACTACAGTTTTATATAATGTATTATTAGGATTAATTAGTTGACTTATTGAAACTTTAACTGAATCGTTTCTATGGTAACTTAACTATCACTGTTTTCTAAGATGTTTGAATATATATATGGTCTGTACTTATGATAATCTCTTTATTATGTACCATAAATTTTGCTATGGGAAAAATCTTTAAGGACAATAAACATTGTTACAAATGTAGTTTCAGCGATATTCTCATCTATGATATATTTAATACCCATAATTTAATTAATTCTTATTTTTGTTAAGAATATGTTAAGCGCAGAAAATGCTGCAAATTCTGGTCGTTTTGTTCGAGTTTACAGTATTCACCTTCAACATAAGTTGTAAAACTTTTATAGTAGCATGTAAATAGATAATAAGGTTAGCATCCAAGATTATGGGATAGAAACATAAGTTAGAAAGTTTATATAGATAGAATTCAGGATGTATGTTTCGTTTTATTTAAAAAAGAATTGTCACACTTAAAATGATCTAAAAGTTTAAGCTGACTATTGAAGTAAATCTTTATCATTAAATCAGTTGATAGTTCTTCACCAATTTTATGAAGTTCATAAATTTTTTGTTTATTTGATTATTTCAAATCTATCTAATCGAGTCAAAGGAATGTTTAAAAACATTCTAAGCCTTGTAGTTATGTCGATAGATTGCATAGATTATATTTTATGAAGATATCATTTAATGATGTAATCGTTTGATTAAGACTGATCAGATCATTGTAGTTATTTCATGTTATAACTAGCAGTCAAAATCTTGCATACTTAAACATTTACTGAACTCCACTGATTATACTTGAGTATTCTTAGTTGACAAACATCATAAAAACACGTTGAATAAAATAAATAGTCTTATTAAACGAAAATTTCAATGAAAACAACAAACAAACATACCGAAATATCATGTAATGCAGTTTGTAAAGTACAATATTCATTTTTCAGTATATCAATTTCAGAGAGAGTTGAATTCCTGTGACTTTTGATCATTATCATCACCATCATCATTATTGTCTATATTAGTTTTATCAGCTAATAACAATGAAATATCATTTTGATCTATTCCTAATTCTAATGATTTAGTATATCCAGTATTAATTAATGAACTAATATTAGTTTGTAATAATTTATTAGATGTTAATATCCATGATGAATCATTTTGTATTACAACTTCATGATTGATAAATTCATGGTTCTCAAACTTTTTATCTTCTACTTGATCATCATTTTTATTTATATTAGTAGTATTAGAATTAAATTGTAAATTTATTGAAGGAAACAATGTTATTAAATGAAGTGTTTTTAATAATGCTCTCATATGATATTCAATATAAGTTGTAAATACAGAAAATAATTGATCAGATTGTTCACTTGTTATATTGGTTGATAGACCAATATTAGCATTACGCCAACATTTAATTAATTGATATTGAGTATTTTGTAATTCATACATCATATATCTTTGTAAATTAATAAGATTTTTTCTTACTAATGAACAATCTAATTCTGTACCAAGTATTGTACATACATTACGAAATTCAGCTGATATAGTATTAAGTAATTTGAATTGTTTTAAAAATTCTTCATAATCATTTGTTTCATTATTCATTGGTGAAACGGTTGTCATATTACTGTATTAATTATTACAATATAATACTTGACAATATTATTAAATTATAAAGTACAATGATGAAACGAATAGGAAAAAACAAAATGAAATAATTGAAATATTTATATGGATTTACAAAATAGGGCGTTGTTTCATCATCATCATCACCATCATCAACATTATCATCATAAATATGTTTAACTAAAGTTATAAATAATAAAGGAAATAATATCATGAAACTATACAGAAACACATTTATTTGTCATTGAAACAAATTGAACATACATTTAACTTTTCTTTCTTTTGTTCTTGAAGTTGATCTTCTTTTGTTTGTTTGTTGTTTTATTCACATGTTCTATTGCGAATGGGAAATGTAATTTCCTTTGAATAAAAAAAAAGCAAATACTGTTGTTTGTTTTGTTTTTTAAAGTGAATTAAATACATTAGAGTTAATCAATTCAATATGATTGGTTCTTGTTAATTATAGGCTAATTTAACAAAGTTTTTTTCATTTTATAAACTGAACAGTATACTACTTATTTTGTAGTCGTCAAATGAAAAATAGATTTTTAATCAAAGTAATAGTTTCTATTTAATTGTAACATAAAATGTGAAGAGAATAGAAATACTTCACTTCATTATTACCATTATTATTATTATTATTATTAACATTATTACTATACATCCTGTAACGAATGCTTTCTTAGTGTAAATGGTAAAATGAAGCGAAGTAAAACGAACTATTAAAGAATCTAATCAAGAGTTGATGAAAATTAATGATAATTAACTATAAAAAGACCCATATTTTAAAAAAAAAACAGTTTAATAATAGCCAGTAGTGGAATACAAGAAATGTATTTAATCCTATTTGGGACTCAGCTGGGTGAACAATTATCACAGTGTTGATATTCACACTGATCGCTGATATCGAACTTTGCATAGAGATTCCTGCAATACAATAGCCATAATCAGTCAATCCACTCAGGGTGCATATGTAACAAAAAAGAAACTAATCAGTTATAGTCCTTAATATCAAAAAACGTGAAAAATTCACACCTTCACAAGTGAAATATTGGTTTTTGTCTTTATTCATTGTTTTGACACTCACTAAAACAGATGGGTAACAAAATGGTAACTTCATTAATTTAGTGTAATATATAATATTCTTCACTATTTAGTGGTGATTCATATGAATTTCACTTTCACACAATTATTTTCAAATTTTGTGGATTTTTAAGAAAAATTCAGTTAAACAACATTCGCGTCAAAGACATTAGAAATATAACATTGATTAATCGATGGGATTGTATGGTCATTATTCTGTATCGTAAAAATCGGATGTCAGAATATATATCAACATAAAAGAGAAGACCATCCATATTTGCTTATAATACTTGTGACTTAAGGCAATATCGAGGTAATCCACACAGCATTCACACATGCAAATAAGACTGATCAGTTGCAGTCCTAAACATCATTGTGAAGATTCAAACAACCAACACAAAATGAATTAAAACTTCACCTCATTGCATAAGCTAGTGACTATCGGAACTCAGTAGCTAAGTGGATAATGCGAACAGTACTGGGTTCGAGTCCCGGAGTGAACATCAATTCTGGGATGCAGGTACATCCAGCCGACGAGTCCCGAATAGGGCGAAACGTGAGTCCTGGATTCCACTGCTAGCTACCACCCATCTTTGCCTATAAGGAAACTTCAAGTTTGAAATAACCATGAAGCTGTTGCTCATCAGTGATATGCACTCTATTTACTTACTGATAATAACAAGTCATGATGAAATTAAAACTCAAGAAGCACTGGATAATGGGGCGGACAACATCACAAAAGTTCAATACGGCCTTTCTTCAGCATACTGACAAACTCAACAAATTCAAAATAGTCCTCAGCAATAAGTTCCAGGCCTTTCATGATCTACTCAATGGAGAAGGAACTACTATGGAGAGCAACTGGAAGGGTATCAAAGAGGCAATCACTTAAACATGTCATGAGGTTCTAGGCCACAAGAAGCACCATTACAAAGAATGGATCACTGTTGATACACTAGATAAGATTCAAGAAAGGAGGAGCAAGAAAGCAGCAATCAATACCAGTCGAACAAGAGCAGAAAAAGCCAAGGCACAGGCTCAGTACACAGAAATAAACAAGCAAGTGAAGAGGAACATAAGAACTGACAAACGTAAATATGTGGAAGATTTACCAATGACGGCGGAAAAGGCTGCAAGAGAAGGAAACATGAGACAATCGTATGACACGACAAAGAAACTCTCTGGAAATCACCGCAAACCAGAACGACCAGTGAAAAGCAAGGAAGGCGAGGTAATCACCAACATTGGAGAACAACAAAACAGGTGGGTAGAACACTTCAAAGAACTCTTGAATCAACCAGCTCCACTGAACCCACCCAACATCGAAGCAGCACCCAGGGACCTCCCAATCGATGTTGGCCCACCAACAATTGAAGAAATCAGCATGGCCATCAGACAAATCAAGAGTGGCAAAGCAGCAGGACCAGACAACATTCCAGCAGAGGCACTGAAAGCAGACGTAGCGGCAACTGCAAGGATACACCACATTCTCCTCAATATAATTTGGGATGAGTAACAAGTACCAACGGACTAGAACAATCAATTGAATAGAATTCATCACTCTACATCAACTTCATTGGCTACGAAAAAGCATTTGATAGCGTGAACAGGGCAACACTATGGAAACTTCTCAGATATTACGGCGTGCCTCAGAAGATATTCAATATAATACCGATTCCTATGATAGGTCAAACTGCAAAATCGTGCATGGAGGACAGTTGACAGACTCGTTCGAGGTAAAGACCGGTGTCAGGTAGGGTTGCCTACTCTCACCCTTCCTCTTTCTCCTGATGATCGACTGGATCATGAAGACGTCAACATCTGAAGGGAAACAAGGGATACAATGGACATCTACGATGCAGCTAGACGATCTAGACTTTGCAGATGATCTAACCCTTCTATCCCAAATGCAACAACAAATGCAGGAGAAGACGACCAGTGTAGCAGCAGCCTCAGCAGCAGTATGTCTCAATATACACAAAGGGGAAAGCAAGATTCTCCGATACAACACAGCGTGCACCAATCCAATCACACTTGACGGAGAAGATTTGGAAGATGTAAGAAATCAGGAAAAAGAGCTGGAAGTGGGTAGGACATACATTTAAGAAAGCACCCAACCACGTCACAAGGCGAACCCTCACATGCAATCCTCAAGGCCAAAGGAGAAGAGGAAGACCAAAGAACACATTACTTTGAGAAATGGAGACAGACATGAGAAAAAGAACAAAAATTGGATAGAACTGGAAAGGAAGGCCCAGAACGGAGTGGGTTGTAGAATGCTGGTCGGCGGCCTATACTCCATTGGGAGTAACAGGCGTAAGTAATGTAATAAAATGATAATAACAACGGAAATACGATAAAACGATAAAATCATACTGTGATTAGTTAAAATAATTTAATTCACTAGTTTAAAAATTTAATGTTTTTCACATGATTATTCTAATATTTATAACTTTGATAAAGTAAGGTCATTGTTCAATTTTCCATAAATAATCACTCCTTAAAATTTATAATCAGTAGTTTAGTTGAACTAAAATATTCAGTGAGTAATTATTTTGCTATTCCTAATGAAATATCTTGATGTCACTGTCTACTCCAATATAGTGTTGGGTGACATAAGAGCATATTGTAGAAGTACTACAAGTGGATATGTCAGAACATAATATTATTTCATGAGGTTATTGATTGAAGGCCAGAGTTATGTCGGTAAAAGAAAACTTCATGGTGGCTACCCATTCAATACTTCCGATCAACGGTTGGAGCTGTTGGGTGATATGGTCCTAAACCAATCACAGTGGGGCAGTCGACGTCATTCTCCATACCCCTTTAAATATTGAGTAGGTCATCATTCCTAAACTTTTTTATCGAAGCCATTTGTTCTGCTTGAAATTTGTTTCTGATGTTTGACTTTCTGTTGCTCTCGATAATACTTTTTCCTCCTTTAATTCTTTAGGTGTTAATTCACTGTCTGTAGCTGTGTTTGTGTGAGGTATAGTATTTCGAACAGACATATATTGAGCTCTTATCCTGATTATTGACTTGTTAACAAAGTACTGAGTTCAAATCAAAGAATGTAGAGCAACTGACATGAAAGCATTGAATATAGATCGAGAAATAACTAGTGAAGAACTTTCCTAATTAGTTACAATGAAAAGTATTCGTTTTCTCTAATCAGTTGAAACTATTCAATATTAAGGCTGAGAATATTAGTTCAAAATAAACAAGAAAATTTAATTAATGCTAGAAAATTAAACTTTGATCAGACTAAAAAAATACATCAAAGATATTATTACATTAACACTAACATATGTACATCATGTGGTAGAAGACAAAGGTAATAACTAGCTAGAAAACACTTTTTAAACAATTCTCATATATTTAGTTCATAACATTGGACACTAGAAAAAGACAATTTTAATTATCAGGGCGTATTAAGTTACTAAGGTAACAGAATAATATAAAAATTCAAAAGAAATTATTTTGAAAAATCGAATTTTTGTTTTACTCTTTAAAATAAGTAAATTTAAACACAATTGCAAACAATTAAACTATACACATATTTGCATTTGAAAATGTAACGTGTAACTCGATAATGAATACAAAGTTGAATATAATTGATTTACTCCATGTCAATCTTCAATTCTGGTCAGTTGAATATTAAAAAAAAAGAAAACAATTTTTTCCTCGTTTTGATAATTATTCAGTTTCCTATTATTTCGAAAGTAGTAGTTGAAATTAACCCAGTTGGATATTATGCATATTCGTGTTAAATCCATTTTTTTCAATATTTGTATAGGTATTTAAAATATAAAAGAAGTAATGGAAATGTTTACATTTAGTGTATATGATCTACAATTCATACTTATAACTGATTCATGGAAGGTATTGAAATTGTAAAAATCATACAGTTATTA